GTTAGAACTATTCTAAATGAATGTGTACGAATTGATAGAAAATTCCAGGTCATGTTCATATATATTCTATGTAGCTTATTATAAACTTTATCAGTCTATTAACGTTATCGGAATTTCACTAAGTATTTTACTCTTTTCGTATAAATATACTAACGAATTACAAAATACATTCGTATAGTTTTTAGTCGAGATAGTCGACACACAGTACGCAAAGTACATAGAACACATGGATATGATTATGACTTATATTCGGTCAAAACCACATTTTTTCCATAAAAGGATTAGCTTCTACTACTCAGAAAAGAATGACTGATGAAAAAGATGAACTTAAAAAATAGTTTTTCTTGGAAAATTCCTCAAGTGGACCCTTATCCTAAATTTTTGTCCATAGATTTTTATTTTTTAAAACTAACAAACTATAGATCTGTTCTGAATCTGTCGTTGCTTTTGTCTAAAAGTGCTTCTTAGCGGAGAAAATCGTGAAAAAACCTGAAAAACCAAGGTGTTTTGAAAGACCTATATCTCAGTCCAGAAGCATTTGCGCATCTTTACGCAAGCTGAATGTATGTCTCAGATATAGAAGAACATCCTTCTGAAAGTTTCGTCGACATCGGATTAGTAAAAAAAAGTGGGCGGCCTACTTTACTGAAGACGTCGTTTCGGAAAACGCTTAGCGTAAAAAAAATAATTATTTTTTTCGAACGAAAAATCTTGTTATAAATCAATAGAGCAAAAGTTATAGTTTTAGAATATATATATGATTTATTGTCCAACTCTTTTTACTTTTCACAAAAACTAATGCTTTTATCAAAAGGTGTTGAAATTCGACGATTTTTACGACTCAGCTTTTCCAATGAATTTAGTAGCTTTTGCCAAAAAACTGGTCGTTAATCAAAGTGTATGAGTTACTAATCTCTAAAAAGCTCACTATCATTTTTTGACCTAATGTCCACGTTGTTGCCCACTCTGAGACAGGTATACAACTTTCTATTCCGTTTATTCATTTCTTCAAAACTAAACTGTATATTATGTAAGCTCTCTCGCTCTCTGTTCAATTCTTCATATTTATTTTATACAATGCACACTATTTCTAATGGCGTCCTTTTTTCGCTGGAAAAAACAGGTATAAAAACGATCTTACGAAACCATTCGAATGATTGAATAATCATTATTCACATAGATAATCAATTTCATCAGGGAAACAAAAAATTAAATATATTTTAGAGATCGAGCAGAGGGAGAAGATAGTTTGTCCATTGGGAAGCTTTAACTGAACTAGATCTGATTAACCGTAACAAAAGAAAAACAAATCCATGAAAAAAATATGAATTTTTTGGGAAACTATGATGGTTTCCCTTAAAAACAAGGAAAATTCGATAGATTATTTACTAGAGAAGGTGAAACGATGACTCTTTCTCGGGTGTTAATAGATTATAGAACAATCACAGGAAAAATTCCAGTTCAAACTTGGCTGTTTTTATTGAGATACAAAAAATTTCGTGTTTTTGTATCTGTTTTCCCCACCGAAACAGAAAAAATTTAGAACTCTTGAAAGAAGTACTATGGGGAAAATGCTTTTAGAGCTTTTTTAGGACACTTCCTCCAAGACAGGGCCGGGTATATCCAACTCCGGAGTTGGGTGATTTTTAAGTGGAAGTGGGGTTGGTTTCAGAAGAGCTGGAGTTGGAATTTTTGAGAACAGTGTTGTCTTTTATTCATTCCTTGTAATTGTTTTTGTTAAGCGTTCTTTTCTTCAAAAAAGAGTGGCGCGTACATAGATAATCACCATGATTCTTTCTTTGATATATGAATATACGACAGAATTCATATCACTCTCATGTGTCAGACGTTTGTGTATTTATAACTACGTTTCTTTCTTAGATTCTATTTTGCCTATTCATTCTTTTGTATAGACTGTCAGTCATGTACAAAAGAAGTCATTGACTGTACACTTCTTCATCAGTATAGATTTTATCATCTTTTTCGGAGCTATATAAAGGAAAAAAGGAAAAAGGAAAGAAAAGGAAAAAAGGAGAAAAAGGAAAAACAACAGCCGGAGTTGAAATGGAGTTGCGGATTTTTGAAACGGACTTGGAGTTGGATCGCAAACGGAGTTGAGTTGAACTTCGGCGGAGTTACCCTGCTCCAGGAACTGGCATAAAAGACTATTGAAAACGGAGTGTGATACCCGGGAAGGTTTCCCCGTTAGTACAACGGTTTTGTTGTACCCGAAATGATGGCAGTATTGCGAAAAAAGTTTTCTAAAAGACCTGTCCAATAGTGCGCTATATGACGGGTAATACGGATTCGAAACAATATGTAGTAATTATCTCTCAAAATGTTCAGTTCAGGGGCGCCCCGATAAGGGGAGGGAGGGGAAGGGTCCCCCTGCTTTTTGACAAAAATTTACTCCGAAAATTAGCCCTTTGACTTACGAGAATATCCTACGGAGTAACGCGCTTACTTGTATTTTTAGAGTAAGACAATTATTCTCATTTTTAGAGTATAAAAGGCTTACTCTCAGTTTCGAAGTAAGGCGCTTATTCCCATTTTCAGAGTAAGGCGTTTGGAGTAAGATATTTATTCTCATTTTGAGAGCAAAAGGCTTACTCTCAGTTTCGTAGTTAGGAATTTAATTTGCTTTGTGCTGAAGTATATAGAGTTAGATAGAAGGAAAGTCAGTCTTGCTTTAAAAGAAAACTGCTTAGCATATTTATCTTTGTTTTTTTATTTTTACTCCAATTTTTAAAAGCATAAAAATTTACTCCGAAATTGACTTTGCCACCCCCCCTGGCTCCGAGGTATCGGGGCGCTCCCGGTTCAGTTTTTTTACTTTCTAATTTGGACGCTTCATCAGCATAAATGTGTGAGTGAGGTGGTCGTGGTGCTTCCCAGCTAACTTAGTTTTATAATCAGCTTTCCATTTTTAGACATAAACTAAATATAATCTCTTGCACAAAAATAAATAGTAATTTCCTCTTTATTGTTCACTATTTCATATTTGTATTTTGAAATTATAAAACGTCAATACCTGCTGCGCTGAACATTTTTCCTTAAATTCTAAACAGTTTTAGTCGGAGATCAAAGTGTATTGAAACATAACGTATTCGAGTAGTGAAAATGGAAACGGAAGTAGAGATGGGGAACGTGCAATTGAAAAAGGAAAAAGACAAGCAACAGTTTCTTAGTTGGGCCAATTTATTATTGTCTAGTCTTATTCCTCTAATGATTGGTGTATTTACAATCGCAGTCACAATTCAACAACAACAAATTTCTGATCGTCAACGTCAGCAAGATCAAAACCAAGCAGATGATTTACAAAAGGAGAATGTTTTTACAGGTTATATTGACGATATATCAAAATTAATATTAAACACATCACAATTAAGTAATACCGAGCAAAGTTTATTGTATATTAGAACAAAAACTCTAACAGCACTTCGAAAGTTAGGCGTACCAAGAAAAACACATTTAATTCTGTTTCTCTATGAAAGTAAACTTATTTATAATAATCAATCGTCAGCAACACAGCGTCTAGTAGATTTGTCTGGAGCCGATCTAACGAACTTATTGTTCGATGTCGATAGTTCAACAACATTACGATATAATTTTTCACATCTCTATTTACCGAATGTTAATCTGATAAATGCAACATTTATAGACTGTGAACTAACACATAGTAATTTTGATGGATCAATAATGAATAACGCAAATTTTATTCATACAGATTTGAGGCATACAACATTCAAAAAATCCATATTACATAAGGCAAAGTTTCAGTCAAAAACAATTTTGGGTTCAGTTGATTTTACTGGAGCATTACTTGTACATGCTGATTTTAAAGATTCTGTCGTTGAATCTGTTAATTTTACGAATGCTAATCTTGATAAAGCAAGCTTAACCATTAATCAGCTAGAACCAAGTAGAACAGAATATCATCATAGATTTGATCAAGCAATATTTCCAAATGGTACATTTGGTCCAGTTAAAGAAAAAAATTTAGTGCAAAACAGCGGTGCTGAAGAAAATGTATGTTTAAAGGATTAAAGTTCGACTATGGCAGATTCGTAGGTCATTGAGTTCATACAGATGTTTCTGTATTTGATGTTTGTTTGTTCTAGTGTCCAGTTACTAATATATCATCTCCAAACATAAATATGTGGACAATTCATACAGGCGTTTTACTAACAGCCTCTTATAATAACTCGTCTGATCATCATATTAATAATTTTGGTAGGTGCTATTTTTTGGCATTTGAAACGGCTAGAGTATATCAACAGATTAATGTTGGAAATTATTCACTGTTGATCGATCAAGAAAAAGCACAATATAATTTATCCGCATATCTTGGATGTGTTAAACATGACGGACAAATGCATGGTACTGTTTGGATAGACTTTGTGACAAATGAAGAATTATTTACTGGCAACAGGGACTTCGGTAATTATGAAAATAAAATATACTAGAAAAAGATATTGTTTTTATTGAACATTTTCTTTCTTAGGTTTGTTAGCAACCAAGGGTATGAGATATAATACAATATTGGGAATAATACCTTACAAAACACGTCGAATTGAAGTAAACATTGAGTATACAAACTTTGTCGATAACGAAAAAGTCAAGTTGTGTATATTTGATAACATACAATTGTCGATTAAAAAAATCCCTTAAGAAAAATATGTACGACATAGATTCGAACTGATACTCGCATTAGCAGAATATTGCAGAAAATAAGATGCCGCTAATTCAAAAATTTCAGTAAAACTTATTTTTCGTTGACTTTTTAAAGATAAAAATCGAGAAATACAAAGCATCTACAATTTCGTAAAAATCTTCTGCTTTAAAAAAATTAAAAAGTTTTTTCTTTTTCATTCTTTTAACACCTTGAAAGTATTTTTACCACATTCGCTATCAAAAACTGGGTATAAGAATGATGTTTGATTCAGGTTGAAGTCAAAAGTCTATCCGGTATGGCTGTTTTGAACCCCTCTGTAGAAAAGTTTAGGGGCAAAAAATATAGAAATATACTTGTACTTTGAAATTTTTACAATCAAATTTCAACTTTTTGCAACTTTTTTAGCTTCTATTCTGACAGAATAAAGCTTATACTGAACAGAACACAAAAAAACATACCAAAAAAATGACTACTGGTAACATCGAGTCGATTGCACAACTTCAATCGTTGTACAGAATATAGACACAGAATAGTGAATTTAGTTTTGCACTTTACTGCAAAGCTAAATTCATGTGTTCAAATCTCTATTCGTACAAGAACTGATTTTGTGCTTTTTGATAGTTTTAGTTTGGAGTACTATAATGGAATATTTTTTCGCTCGTATTCTCACAGAATAAAATTTATACCAACTTTTTTGCAAAACCTAGTGTGACATACGAAATTCGCATCAAAAACTGCACCGAACGAAGTCGATCTGGGAATGTTGAGATGGTTTTCATTTTGAGGTGAAAATCTACCTTTGCTTTCGAGGGAGAGTTTTAGTTTTTGCAAAAAAGTTGAAATCTGATGGTGAAAATCTCAAAGTACGAGTATATTTCTAGATTTTCTGTCATTGATTCACAAAAAATGAATTTTCTCAAAATTGAACAAATAAAAGAGAAAGGCGCTTCAAATTATTAAAGCTCGCTCAATGGCGGTTCTAATGAAGTAAAAAGATCGGCTAGATCGCTTCATAAAAAGTCGAAAATGTTCGTTGTCAGCTCAAAAGCTACAGAAATAGGAAGAAATTAACTTACGGCGTTTCTTGTAGAGCTGCGAGATGTCTCATTTTAATCAGAAATTTACGGGCTACAACTATGACTCATCAAGAAACGTTTTGGTTATTTTTTAAAGTTTATGAAAACTGTTGAACTGGAAAATCGGATGTACAAGGACCTGTATGGCGCTTCGACTATGATAGTCGAAATCAGCATCAGCGATAACATATGTCTATGTGTGTTTCGACGAAAAAGCTCGGGAACACTTGGGGCGGTTCCCTCGTCAGTTAAAAGGATCCTTACTACGTAGTTTAGACAGAGTTTGTACATTGCATCTATACTTAGAAGTAGATAGTTAAATGATATTTTATACTTTTTTATTTTATCATAATTTTACATTTGTATGATTCACTGAATACGAATCTTTTTCGTTATAATTTCGATTTTTTCGAACGAACTGATAAACGTTTCTATTTATAAGCGAATTTTAACCGATGTTTTAATTGACTACTTCGTACGCTTTTATAAACTGAGGAGAGACCACGTGAAACCTCTGAATAAATGAGCCTCATGAGATCTCCATCTCAAACTGAAGGAGTTAAAGCGAACTACATTTTATTCACTTTATTTTAGAAAAGCTTTCTCTTTTCTGTTTTTACAGCCAAACATTCAAAACAAATAAATTTTTGTCTTTTGATACTGTGAATAAGATAGAGTTTTATTCTGATCGTTTAGCAACCATAGTTTGAAATCTTCAAATGCTTGGATATCATTGTGATCTTCATTAAGTGTGATCTCCAAGTTTACCTTAATTGCATATTTAAAATATTTTTTTGTATATGTTCGATTGCTATTTTCGGTGTTAAACGTAGCATGTCGTCGCCGTCATACTTGTTGTCTACAAAATAAATTGTGCATAAATGGAGATATTTTAAATGAGGAATGATTTGTGCTAATTCAATAAGAAATAAACGATGAAAATATGAAAAAAAGTAACAAACACTGTGACAATATAAATGAGTTATCTTTCTTGTTGGATTGATGGATATGTGTTTAAGTAGCAAAATAATATATCTCGACGTTCTGGTAGTTAAACGAAGACGTTTGTAGTAGTGTAAATATTATACGTATTATCCGACAGTTGGTCAATGTTACAGAAATCATCTGATGGCCGATGAATTATTCGAATCGAATACTGAAATGATAAGAGACATGAAAAACTGTCTGTTATAGTTTGTAATTCACTGAAATCCGCAAATTGTACGTCGTTACTCATAATGATTAATGTAAGTGATTGTAAATGATTTCTGGAATTATTTAGAAACTTTTTTATTGTTTTAAATCTTTGTGGATTTAACACATCTGATTGATCATGACATCCGGCTTCTAAATGTAGTCTAAAGAATGATATCGGTAGCACTTTTAATTGATCATTTATCTGTTTTCGTAATTTTTCAAAATTCGTTATGGATAAATTTAATTTGTCAAGATTGATCATCATTTTAAATAGGTAAAAAAACAAATCATTGAAGTCTTCTGCATGCATTGTTAATAATTTTATGTTTGACATTCGAATATCATCTTTAAGAATTTGATAACAAAAATTCCGAGAATTATAGTGATCTGAAGGTAATAAAATCAATCGTATTAATGATCAAATACGTTTTTGTAGTTTCGTTCTATAGTAACAAGAACAGCAACTTTCGTTCCAGGTGTCAAAAATTCGTCCTTTCTATTTTTGGTTAAGGTTCAACACCTTCGAATAGACGGGTCACAGTGGGCAACTAAGCGGACATTAGGCCAAAAAGTCGATTTTATCTATCTTGAAATACAAATAGTGCAAAATGTAGCTCTTGAAATTCTCTATCGAATGGTGTATAAACGTCTATTGTGAAACT